TTTACAGGTATATATACAGTACTATATAACTGTATATATGTAAACATTTGAGGAAACTATCCTTTCTAGTTTTTATGTAGCTTAAAAGTATAGTTTCCTTTGGGCTGGCCAAAGATTAATCTATGGTGGCCAAAGCCACCATTGGCCACACCTTAATTTAAGGGGTGAGAGCTTCTCCATTTCTCCTGGTTGTGAATATAAACAGTCCCTCGACTCAACAGGATTTGTCAATCTGTGCAGCCTCTTAGTGAAGTAAAAAAGACAAAAACTTTGTTCTTCTATACTGTGTAACTCCTATCCTCTTGATCTTGCACCAAAAACATTAAGGCTTACTCTCATTCTCTGTTCAATTCCATTTCAGAAAAACACTCATCAGCAAACATTCACTATTCAAATCCCTCAGTGATGGGGGGATATTGGCGTACCGCTTGTTCCCATGATGGGAGAGTTTCTTTGTCTGGGGTGGAGCATGGGAAAGCATGGTTGGAGCTTATTATAATGTGGGGCCAGCACACCAGCAAGGCTTGGTTGTCAAGAATTCAAAGTAGGACTGGCCTCATGCTTTGGCTGCACCTGTGATCATGACACAAACAGAAATAACGGTGGTGGTGGTGGGGGGGTGGGGGGGGGGGGGGGGGTTGCACCAGATAATACTGTAGATTAAAATTTAATACAGTTTGTGTGGTGGACTAAACATAAAAAGATCTAACACTGAGCTCCATGTGATGCTTAACGAATGCGCTGAAGTAAATGTTCACTGTATTTTGTGCAGCAATGCTTGATGTACGGTTTTATTAATTTTATTTATTTATGTTTTCAGGATGTGCGGCAGGCTGGAGAAGAGCCCAAAACAGAACTCTAACTCTCATGAAACACGTGGAAATGAATGACTCTGTTAAATAAAAAACTAATACAAATGAAATATCTAACTCTATTTTGTTCATTTTCATGATTTTAGAACAACTGCTCACTTTCTGGTGTATTTGGGCTTTGTTTGTTTTTACAAGGGTGAGCCAGTCTGCGGTCCGGGCGGTCGGCCGTGGGTCAGCGGCCACAAGTTGCAGTGATGTGGACGAGATTGTTAGTCTGTCCACAAATGTTTGAGTCCAAACCACAACACACCAACCTCAGAGAGACTGACAGAAAACAGGCCGATAGGAGCAGGGAAAGTCAGGACACGGTGCTGCCGAGTTCTCCTCTGAGTCGTTCTGTTAAGAAAGAAACGTAAAAAAAATTAGGAAAAAGCTCAATTAAACTCCCAACAAGGAATGTTAGAGTCTTCATGCACAAGCAGTTAAAATCTAGTGCATCTAAATTAAAATCTATTGCATGTTTCTGTGAGAACCTACTTGGCTCTGCAAACAAGGGATGAATCTGTGATTATTTAGCAGTAAAGTCTGTAAAAGCTCCATCAAAGAACAGCAGATGGACTTTAGACAGCAAGAGAGAAAAACCTTTGGGCTTCTCCCAAAAATATTCTGTCAAGCAAGAAGGGAATTTCAAGGCCCAGACCAGGACCAGTATAATTGGTGGGGCTGCACTGCCAAGCAGAAACATCCGGTGGACTTAGGGAAGCCTGGCAGGTGACCCGTTTCTCAGAGGCCAGATGGAAATATGCAGTAAGTAACAGCTGCCATGCGAGTTTGTGTGTGGCTGCAAGCGAGGCCGCCGACGGAAGAGACAGAACGAGGAGCTGATCGGGGTCGGAGGGGACAGACGTGGTTTTAGTTTTAGACTATGCAAAAATGAAGTTAAAATTAAATTAAATAAAAACCAAGTTAACAGGAGGAACAGGAAGAAGATCAGCCACCCCCAACCCTATCAACATCAAGGGTACTAAGGTGGACGCTGTGGACTGCCACAAGTACCTGGGGGTCCACATAGACAATAAACTGGACTGGACAGCTAACACCAACACCCTCTACAAGATAGGACAGCGTCCCCTTTTTTTTCTGAGGAGACTCAGGTCCTTTAACGTCTGCAGGACCACGCTGCAGATGTTTTACCACTCGGTGGTCTCCAGTGTCTTCTTCTATGCTGTGGTGTGCTGGGGCAGCAGGGTGAAGAAAGCTGATGCCAACAGACTTGATAAACTCATCAAGAGAGCTGGCTCAGTTCTGGAAGTGGACCTGCAGTCTCTGACAGAGGTGTCGGAGCAGAGGATGCTGAGGAAACTGCTCCAGATCCTGAACAACACATCACACCACCTGCATGACACACTGGACTCTTACCACAGCACCTTTAGTCATAGACAGAGACCACCAAGGTGTTCCACAGAACAACGCAAGAAGTCCTTCCTCCCTATGGAGATCAAACTTTTCAACTCCTCCCCCTTTCTACTCATAGGACAAGAAAATTAATCCTGCACCAAAATAAACATTTTAATGTTTCTGTCTGCACCTGACATGTTTTAGACCTTAATTGTTGATATTTTTATATTTTCTGTTATTTTGTATATTCTCTATTATTTTTTATATCTTGTGTGATTCCTTGTATGTTCCTTTGTACTGAAACTCTGGCACAACAATTTCCTGTGGGATGAACGAATCTTATCTTAAAAGGCTTATGACTGATAAACTCAAACAGAAGGCTTCTATGTAAATGCAAAGCTAATGCAAAAGTGAGGTGCAAATGCTTTTTAACTCGTTGCACATTGACCACACATTGTTGGAGACTACAGGACAACAGAAATGATGGCTCTGCTCAGACTGGGATCCTATGAGTACTGCAGGTATATCAGCTCCACAGAACTACACGGAAGTACTTGGAAAAAAAAAGTTTTCCTTTTCCCTCCTATTGTGTTTTATCAAATGTGACTTAGATGCTCTTTCTATAAAGAAAATAAATGTTTTTTTTACAAGCTAAATAAAAAAGTAAATAAATCTGAATGCAATGACGTGCACCTCTCATAAATGTATGTTTTATTCACAATAAAATCCAGTAAATAGATCAGATATTTGAACATAGTAATTTTGCCCTTTTTTGTGAAGAAAAACAAGACAGTTTTGGACTTCATGACAGCAACATGTTTAATAATTGTAGGGACAGGTTTACCACTGTGAAGCTTACACTCTTTTTTTAACACCAGCCTGTAAATGTTTATGAACTGTGGACCAGTTGTTGGAGTTGTTGGAGAAGAATGTCCCAATGTTGTCTGATGTAGGATTCTAGCTGCCAAACAGCCTTGGATCTTCTTTTCTGGATTTTTTGTGTCATGATGCACCAAATGTTTTTAATTGGTGCCAGGTTTGGATTGCAGGCAGACCAGCTCAGCACCCAGACTCTTCTACTATGAGGCCATGGGTTCATAGTAGACAGCAGCATGCATGCTATTCTGATGGATGCTTTCCCTGAAAAAAATGTCACCTGGTTGAAGCACGTTTCTAAAACCTGCATGTTTCTGCATTGATGATTTCTTTCCAGTTGTCGAAGCTTCCCATGCCAGAGGCATTAATGCACCCCCATACCATCAGAAAGGCAGGCTTTTGAACTCTGCATGGTAACAGACTGGGTGGTTCCTCTCCTTGTTTTAGTAGGGTGGACGTGGGGTCAAGTTCAAGTCATGTTTATTTGTCATACACAGGGTTAACAGTACAATGAAATGCTTAGGATGAGAAGAACTGATGTGACTCACTAAAAAATCAAAGAACAAACCAACAAGAAATACTAAAAGCATGCAATAAGGGTACACAAAAAAGTACCGAAAAGTGAAAAAGTAATTATAATATTTACAACGTCCTAAAGAGAGATAGTAAACAACAACATGATAGAATATTACGGTTCAGCAGGATGAATTTGAATGAATAAGTCTTTCAAGGTAGTAATATAATAATATAAGCTAAAATGCACATGATAGACACACACACACACACACACACACACACACACACACAAATATATATATATATATATATATATATATATATATATATATATATATAAATATATACTGCACATGATCAACATATACCACACAGGTTGTGTGACAAGTTATTGCACAGGTAGTGACATTGAGGTTGAATTATTAATTTATTAGAATTATAAGTTATTATTAGTTTGATCTGCAGTTTTCCAAAGGAATTTCACATTTGGTGGTGATGTTGGTAGAGCTCTTGTCTCTCAGTGAGAAGGTTGCTGGATTGAATCCCAGCCTCAGAGACTTCTCGGAGTCTGGTGGAGTTTGCATACTCTCTCCGTGCATGCGTGGGTTTCCTCCAGGTGCTCCAGTTTCCTCCCACAGACCAAAAACATGCATGTTAGAATGATTGGTAACTAGGTGTCCCTAGGTGTGAGTGAGAGAGTGAATGGTTGTTTGTGTTGTTTGTCTCTATGTGTCCCCGTGATGGACTGGAGACCTGTCCAGGGTGTCCCCCACCTCTCGTACAGTGGCTGCTGGACATGAGCACCAGTGACCCCCATCCTTTGGCCCAGAGAAGACAGTGGATGACCCCACTCACCCAGCACACACTTTTTTTGCCCCGCTACTCCTGGGGCAGAACTCTGAGGAGCATTAAGTGTAGAACTACCAGGCTGAGGAACAGCTTCTACCCTGAGGCTTTTAGACTCATGTATCTCTAACCAGGAAAAATAACTGGGAAAATTACTGTGAAAAATCGTTGTAATGCCACTTGGTTGTTGATATGTGCTGCTGACTATCCATGATGCTGATCTCATGCTGCTGATTATTTCATGTTGCTGTGTTCATTCGTCCTCATTTGCTCACACAGACTCATGTTCGTGCTGCTGTTGTTTTGGCACATTGTTTTTGTTCTATTAGTGCATTCTTAGTTTAGTGAATGTAGTCTTAGTTCATGACTCGGATCTTACTAATGTTTTTCTTTACAATTTGTGTTTTTGTTGGATGCAACTTGGACCCAATGTACATAGTTTCGTCCCACCTCATGTACCATGTGTGGTGTGTATGACAAAAACTCTTTGACTCATCATAAAACTTAAAGCAGCATTTGTGGATGGTACTGAAAACTGTTTACAAACGATGGTTCTGTACAAATTCTTGATTCCAGGAAGACTGCAGGGATGTGCTGATGTCCAGGACAGGATCAGACCTGGTCTTAATGCAGCACTGCCTGGGGGCCCAAACATTACAGATATACAATGTTGGCTTTCAGACAAAGCCTTGAGCCTTGAGCTCAAAGATTTGTAGATTGTTGAAAAGTTTTTATGATATTCTGAACTGTAGATGATCTGATATCCATCCATCCATTATCTTACGCTTTTTCCGAAGTCAGGTCGTGGGGGCAGCAGCTTGAGCAGGGAGGCCCAGACATCTCTTTCCATATCTTCCTCTTCCAGCTCTTCTTGGGGGACCCCAAGGCATTCCCAGGATGACCAAGAGACATAGTCTCTTCAGCATGGCCTGGGTCTTCCCTGGGGTCTCCTCCCAGTCGATGAGCCCAACAATATCCAGTAGGTACTTCTCAACCTCGCACACAAGCTCAGGCTCCTTCCCCACCAGAGACATCACATTCCATGTCCCAAGAGCCATCTTTGGTAAGCCAGGGTCAGAGCGCCATGGTCCCCGCTTTCGGCCACTGCCCATGGCATCATGCACCCGACTTTTATGGCCCTTCCTGCAGGTGGTGGGTCCACAGGAAGGCAAACCCATGTTGCTCCTTTGGGCTGAGCCTGACTGGGCCCCATAGGTAGAGACCCGGTCACCAGGCACTCGCCGACGAGCCCCTCCCCCAGGCCTGGCTCCAGGATGGGGCCCCGATAACCCATGTCCCGGAAAGGAACACTGAGTTTCTTCCAAAAACTTTCAATCTGGTCCTCTGGACATTCAAAAAACAAGAAAAAACAAAAAAGAAAAAAAATTTGAAACGTTTCGTCTCTCATCCGAAAGACTTCCTCAGTCTGAGGTGCTGTTTTCAGCTCAGTCTCTTAAATAGCACCTTCTCAGAGTGGATCAACCAGTTTGCTGCTGACAACCAAAACCAGCTGCTCACATGCTCAAGAAGGACCATCAGCCTAACAATGGATCATTAGCACACTGATGGCTGTTTACTACTCACAGAGGGCTGAGTGATACTAGCAAGCACAGCATTGTAAGAGGGGGACAATTGAACCCGGAGGCCTCCACCCCTGTTTAATGATGGACGATTTCTGACGATTTTCTGGACTGAGTTTCTTGTTTTTTTCCTGTCCATATAAGTCTTGTAAATTGCTCTTTGTCTGGCTTGTCACCTACGACCAATCTGGTTTGGGAGACCAATTATAATGGTCCCAGACAGCATAGCTCCTAGGACCATTCCGGTGCACAAACTCCTCCACCATGATAAGGTGGCGATTCAAGGAGTACTCGTGCTACTTAACTTTTACAAACTTTTTCTGTCTCTGTCTCAACTCTCAACATGTGTTGCTGCCATAAAATTATCAATTATCTTATTTTTGCCACAAATGCTTAATTTAAATAATATTATATTGACTATGACCCATTGTAATTACATTAAGGGTTTAAGCGGTTTACACATTGTTTTCTTTTAACAAGCATTACAACTTTCTTAAATTTGTATGTTTGACGTGTTTTCTCTGAATAATTTTGTCCTCAAATCATACAAAATAATTTTTTTAAATGTCATATACATTTTGTGTTTATTATTTATTTTTTTGAGTGGCACGGTGGCGTAACTGGTAGATCTGTTGTATCTCAGCAAGAATGTCGCTGGATCAAATCCCAGCCCGGGACCTTTCTGGGTAAAGTTTGCATGTTCTCTTTGTGCATGTGTGGGTTTTCTCCAGGTACTCCAGTTTCCTCCCACAGACCAAAAACATGCATGTTAGTCTGATTGGTAACTCTAAATTGTCTCTAGGTGTGAGTGAGAGAGTGAATGGTTGTTTGTCTCTATGTGTCCCTGTGATGGACTGGAGACCTGTCCAGGGTGTCCTTCACGTCTCGTACAGTGGCTGCTGGATATGGGCACCAGCAACCCCCGTGACCCCAAAAAGAATAAGGAGGTAAAGATGGATGGATATTTCTTTTTTGTACATGTGGCTTTCCCGGTCATTAAAGTCTGAGACATTTGTAGCAATTGCAAAGTGAGATGGAGGAAGAAGGGCAACACTTTCTCCACTACATTTATTTTATATATTTAGCTCTCATTAAAGCAGGGCACCAGCTCGTCAGTTTATTGACCAACAACAACTTAATTAATATATTCACCCTTTAATGATCAGAATCAGTCACTGAAGTAGAATATGTTAATTACAGGGAGTCCCATACCATAATACATGAAAACTCATCTGAATGAAGAGACCAGGCCCTGTGATGGACTTGCGACCCGTCCAGGGTGTACCCCGCCCCTCGCACAGTGATTGCTGGACATGGGCACCGGCGACCCCCATGACCCAAAATGGAATAAGCGGGTAAAGATAATGGATGGATGAAGAGACCAAAGTTGTCTTTGAAGTTTTATTACAAAAATAATCAAACTAAGAATCAACACCAATAATAAACAAACAAACAATAATTAATCAATCAAGGCTTAATTATCTTATCCAAGGCTAAATTGACTCTGAGCAGGAATTATTTTAGTTCTATATGCACATGAACTTAGACAAAGTTCGACTATTTTAATTACTATAGCTAATTATTTAGAAAATAATATTACTATAGCTTACTATGAATTTTGGTTGAAAGAAGTTATTTAATGTGATCAGATAAAGTCATTTATCATCACTGCAAGCCAGGAAATGATTTATCAAGTAGCATCAGCTAAAAATGGCATAACCAGACGAAGGCATCATGTCACCAGGTTCTGCTCCTTACCGGGTCAGTGTTGAGGGCATCAGGTCACTCGTCTTTCTGGGGTTCTCTGGTGGATCAGACCAGGATGCACCATGAGGAGGACTTGTCAGGAACTGCCCAAGGTAGCTCAACGTCAGTGTGACAGCTTCAAGGGTCTGAGGGCAACAGCTGATGAGAAGGTGCACTGTCCATCGGCACCTTCAGCCGGCTTAGACCTCAAGCTGAGACTGTGAGTCTCGCAGTGAGAAAATGCTTCATCTTCTGTAATTATTTAACTTCTAACAATTATAATTGAGCAACATGTTTATCTGCTCAGGACTGAATGAGTGGAGCTCAGGATGACCACCAGGATCGGGTTCAAAGTCGAACTGCTTTGTCACACAAAGAGATTTTGTGTAAAACAACATCTCTCAGAAGATGTTTTGACTACTCTCAGGAACATTGTGGCTCCCCTCTGAAGAAAACAGTTCCAGCTCAAAGAACGCTCACAACAAGTGTCTCTTCAAGGAAAAGTTATCTTCTGAAAAACAGGAGAAAGAAATATGTTAAACACATTGCAATATTTCATCATAATGATTGAAAACAATAATCAAAATGATTCATGTTCACACTTGTTATAATCAAATAAACTTCATTAATGATTTGATTTTCTTTCTTAGAAACATAGAAAGAATAAGGTGAACATTAGTCAGACAGTAGCTGACTCTGTCTAAGGATGGTGAATGTGTAAAACATCAGACATTATTGAGGTCAGAGGTAACTTTTAAAGAAAATAATTCGTGGTGAGTCTGGAAGATGACCCAAGGGTCAGGGGTCATATAAGAGGAGTGCAGCCTCATGCTACACATTAGCTGTTGTCTTCAGCAATTGGACATAGTCCCCCCCCCCCCCCCCCCCCCCCCCCCACCCACACACACACATATACACCCATCCATCCATCCATCCATCCATCCATCCATCCATTTTGTTTACCCTGTGTTTTTCTGCTTGCAGTGCGGCTGGTGTCTGTCTCCAGTCACTGTGGTACACCTTGGACAGGTGCTTTTTAACTCATGGTACAAGCTCAAAGAATAGTTTCATCATGGCGGTAACATCTTGTGATTGATCGGTAGTTATGACGCTTGTGAGAATAAAATAATAACAGGACGCTCACACTATCTGCCAGCTTGTTAGTCCCCTGAGCAGAACGTCCAGCAGGAACCTGAAAAAAATAACGAGTTGGCATTAACTTGTTGGCATTAACTTGTTGGCGAGCTACGAAACAGAAACAAACCCAAAACAAAAATGCTCCAGACACTGCATTTCCTGCCTCCTTGAGAATGTTGGAACAATTGTTTTCTCCTGCTGCGTCCTCCAAATACTGAACAAAACATCCACAAAAATGGACACGGAACCAGACATTGAAATTACACAGCACACGGTCCAAAACAAATCACTGACACCAGGAATAACGCCGTCCTGAGATACACAGAGGACATCGAGGTCACTCAGCAAGCCGGATCTGCAGCTGCAGGACAGATGAGCTGGCTGGGGGTCCTCAAAATATTTATGCGTGCATGCCTAAATGGTTGGTTGTCTCGACAAGTACATTATAGTATAACACAAACTTGACAACTCTAAATAGTATTTTTATCAACCTAGACCCCAGCTGTGAACCATATCCTGCAAACAGAACTCTGCAGCCAAAGCCGCACGCAGAACACTTTGCATCCAGCAACATGGGGGTTGCCTAAATTTACCTTCACATACGCTGAAAAACATAGAGCCAAGCTGTTTGTTGGGTCTTCTGTTTGCAGGCCATGGCCGCGTGCCCCGGATAACTCCAGCACCCAGTTGGGTTTGGATTTAGCCACTGACTGCGGTTCAAGAGGGAAGCTCTAATTAAGCCCCGTTGCATAAGGAGCTTCACTGCTGTCCCGTGTAACTCGATTAGTAGCCTGTGGTGGCTTGAGGCTGCAGTTTGTGGTTTGTGTGGGTGGGAGATCACATCTGGGGCAAAGAGTAGAGAAACATAATGGCAACGGCACAAGTGGAAGGCTAAATGTGAAAAAGCAGCAACCCCCACAATCTAATTACATTTTCTAGGAATTTTATATAAGTTTTGCCACGCTCTCTTACAGGGTTTGTTTCATTATTTATACCGCAGTGAAGAGGAGGGAGGTTTGAAGAGGATGTGAAGGACTGGCAAACAAGACAAGTTTTAAAAGTATCCGTTTGACCACGAACAATGATTGACAAGGAAAAAAAATGCATATTTCTTCCCAGCTATTTTAAGAATATTTAAAACCTGTTTGAGTTAGTTCTATCTAGTCACTGTATGTACCAGTACAAAAGTTTCTCTGAAATGTGAGACTGATCAGTCTTCTTTTCTACCCTAATGGTCATATAACATGTTCCCTACATGCACACGTTTACATGCTGTTGCATGTAAGTGCAGACAAATGAAATGCTTGTGGTCGTGTACACTGAGCAAGTTTTCAGGCTGGATGCCAGCGGCCGTGTGGGTGTTTGTGGCAGCCTTAGAGGACAAGTGGAAGCGGAAACGGTGATATTTGATTCTCCATCCAATCAGAGCGCGGGGCTGGTTAAACAGCTGAGCAGGACTGCAGTATATATTGACCTCGATTCAGGGGCTAGAAACAGAACAAGACATTGAAGGAAAGCAAAGAAGCTCAGTAGCTCAGCAGCGAGAAGCGAACTACAAGACATCATGAAGACCCTGACTCTGCTCTTCATCTGCACTCTGCTGTCAGTGTGCTGGTCCATGGGAGGTGAGGACAAACTACTCATTACTTCCAGCTGTTTATTCTGACTCGGAATGTAAAGAATCTAAAACGTATTTCTTTTCTGTCCTGATCAGCCGTGGAACCAGAGGTTGTTGTGGATCTTGTTGCTGACACGGCCGCTGACCCAGCAGCTGCTGCCACCGATTTATCCTCTTCCTCCTCTCAGTCCGACTCAGCCTCATCCGCTGCATCTGACTCCTCTTCATCTGACTCTTCAGCATCGGACTCAAATTCAAGCTCAGACTCATCAGCCTCCGATTCAAACTCCAAGTCCTCCGAGTCCTCCGAGTCCTCCGAGTCCTCCGAGTCCTCCGAGTCATCCGAATCCTCTGAGTCCTCCTCCACTGAATCTTCAGAGTCTGCCTCTTCTGAGTCCGACTCCTCTGCCTCAGACTCCACTGCCTCTTCTTCTTCCTCCTCATCTTCATCACAGTCTGTCAGTGCTGAAGGTATCCACATGTTTGCTTTTTCTGACAGTTTTTAGATAGTTCTGATTTCGATTTTATGAATGTAAAGCAACAAAACCCTAAGTCTTCTCCTCGTTCTCTTTAGCTTCTCATGTGGTGACAAAGAGAGACCTGGCCTCCGTTATCCTGAGGAGAAGAAGAGCTGCAGCAGGACCTCTCAGCCCTCTGCAGCTGGAAAGGTACATGAGCAGGAACAAATCAAACACTCCATTAGCTCTGATTTGAATTGATCTTTGCAACAGTTCCTCTGGAAGTCCTGTGTCTAACTCCTTGTTCTCCCCTCTGTCTCGAAGCCTGAGGGAGGTGTGTGAGCTGAATGAAGCCTGTGATGACATGGCTGACACTGAGGGCATCGTGGCTGCATACACCGCCTACTATGGACCTGTTCCTTTCTAAGCAAAGGACTCATCTTTCATTCACATGTGGACAGTTTTTAAATATACTTTAATGATGTTAATGCAATAATTCCCTCAAGTCTTTAATATAAGCTGAAAAAGTAAATCAAATGGGGATTAACCCATCTTCTGGTGCTAGCTGGAGGTTTCTTTTAGCTGCAGATCATGTGTGTTCAGCTGTGGTCTCCTCCAGACTTTCAGACACATGGAAACACAAACCTGTGAACAATGTAAAGCCCATACACGTGTAAATTATCATTTTCTCCTGCGGGATTTTACAATGAATGGTGCTACAAGAGCAAATGTATTGTATGTTAATGTACTATTGTTTTTTATATTATGCTTTAGTTTGATTTTACTGCCAGTGTTAGTATGTAGTTGATGTAGAGCTGATGATGGTTTGTGTATAGTTTGTAGGAAACACACATCAGCTATCTGTAATGACCACAAAGTGCCTCTGGGTTTGAAAATAATAAATTATTTTGTTTTGTCAAATTGTTGTATTTTCATTACTATGAACTGAGTTTTAATTGTTAAATAAAAAATTATTTTTTTTTAAGCTTAAACCTTCAAATGAGCATTTTAAAGCAACTGTCTGTTTCTCAGACAGTAATAACACCTTAATAATGTCTTATTTAATGAGGCTTCAAGGGGTGATAAGAGCACATATGCAACAAAAATACTCGTCTAACCAAGAATATTATGTTAAATAAAATTAACATTCACTTGGAGCTCAAAGAAGCCCAAGAAAAGTGTGGCTAAGCAGAGAAAAGTGGTTGTGTGCTAAACCATCTGTGTGAAGGTATGCGAGATTTTCACTTTAGTGTGAGAGTGCTTCAAGTGGCCAGAAATACAAGAAAAAAGCTAAATAAATACAATACATTTAATCTTTTGTAGGGTTTTCAGTGTTAGTGGCACCTTCCAAAACAGTCACATACAAATCTTACAGTCATAACATTATAACTTACATTATAACATAACTTATATAAGTTATATACCTTAACATTATAACTGACCTCATCAATGTTATGGCCCTTTCTTGTCATCAAAACACCTGATTAGTCAGAGTATCTTGTAGACAGTTAAACAGAGGCTGCAGTGGTGCAGAGACATCTAATTTTAAAGGAAAAAATATGTTGATGTCATCAGCATAAAAATTAAAAGCAATGTTATACTTTCTGAATATTGAACCCAAAAGCAACATGTATGAAAAAAAAAATAATAGAACCCAAAATGGACCCTTGAGGTGCACCGCAAGAAATGGGTGCAGAGGTAGAGGGATTTTCCCCCATGATTACAGAAAAAACTTTTGGCTAAATATGACTTAACATAATAACCCAATACACATTAAAAACCCTGATAGTCACTAAATGCTTTGAAAGACTGGTCATGAACCACATCAAAGCCACCATCACCATCAACCAGGACCCTCACCAGTACGCATACAGCAAGAATCGATCAACAGAGGATGCCGTCTCCTCTGTGGTCCACACTGCTCTCATCCACCTGGAGCAGGACTCCTACGTCTGTATCCTCTTTGTGGACTTCACGTCTGCCTTCAACACCATGATCCCCAGACCCTGATGGACAAACTACTCCCACTAGGACTAAGCCCCTCCATTTGTAACTGGGTCCTGGAATTCAGACCGCAGTCTGTGAGGATCCACAACTTCTCCTCCTCCACCATAACCCTCAGCACTGGCTCCCCCCAGGGCTGTGTGCTGAGCCCTCTCTTGATCACTCTGCTCACATTTGACTGTGCACCTACCCATCCAGGCTGTCATATAAGTTTGCAGATGATACAGCGGTGGTGGGATGCATCACAAACAATGATGAGTCCAGCTACAGGGAGGAGGTGGAACACCTGGGGAGCTGGTGCAAAGAGAATAACCTTCACATCAACGTGAAGAAGACGGAAGAGATGTTTGTGGATTTCAGAAGGAACAAATACACCTACCCCCCTGAATATGAGGATCTGCAGTGGAAGTGGACTCCAGCTACAAGTACTTGGGTACACCTGAATGACAACCTCATCTGGAGCAACAACACCACCAGCCTGATCAAGAAAGTTCATCAGAGACTCTACTTCCTCAGGCGGATGAGACGAACTGGTCTGGGAAGCTCAGTCCTCACCTCCTTCTACAGGTGTGCAGTGGAGAGCATCCTGTGCTCCAACATCAACGTGTGGCATGGAGGCTGCACAGCTGCAGAAAGAAAAGCTTTCCAGAGAGTGGTGAAGGCTGCACAGAAGACTGTCGGAGTCAGTCTCCCCACTATCACAGACATCTACACCTCCAGATGCAGGAAGAGGGCCACCTGCATCATGAAGGACCCCACTCAACACTTTTGTCCCCGCACCCCTCAGGAGGAGATTGTGGAGCATTAAGTGTAGAACCACTCGACTGAGGAACAGCCTCTACCCTGAAGCTGTTAGACTCATGAATCTCTGATCAGAATAATCACTGTAAAGAGAAAAAAATCACTGTAATTCCACTTTAATTGGTGATATGAGACTTATACCATACCATACCATACCAATTTATTTATATAGCACTTAAAACACCAACAAGGCCAAATGTGCTGTACAAAAGAACACAAACATGCACAGCAGACAGGAAAACATAAAATAGAAATACAGATACAGGTGGAGGCCTTTTTATTTGGAACTTATCTGTGCTGCTGATCTCATGCTGCTGATCTCTTGCCTTTAAGCTGCTGTACTCATGTTCGGGCTGCTGTTTTAATGATTTACATCAGAAGTGTCAAACTCACTTAGAAAAGGGGGCCAAAATTAAAACCTTTTTCAAACTAAGGGCCAATTTCAGAAACTACATAAACTCAAATCAGAAACCCAACATCTTTTATTGGTCACAGGTTTCTCAACAAGAGTTTGATTGGTCTCATTTGATGTTTTCTGTTGTGCTTTTAACATCATAATCAAAGATTACTGAAAAAATTCAAGAGATAGAAGGATTCAGTGTTTCACATATCATCTTGGGGGCCAGATAAGATGTCATCGAGGGCCACATTTGGTCCCTGGGCCTTCAGGTTAACACATATTATTTACATTATTAGTGTTTGGTGTACATCTTAGATGTTTAGCGTTTGTTTAGTGTATATCTTAGATCCTTGTATACTGTTTCTTCTTACACTTTACATTTTTGCTATTTGTGGGTGTAACTGGGACCTTGAGTACATAATTTCGTTCCACCACATGTACCACATGTGATGTGAATGACAACAAAGATACTTGAACTTAATGATAAAACAGAACTTTAAGAGCAACATGTTCAAGTTGTAGATGAACAGATGCTCAGATATATTCATCATTTAACACGGATTCCTCATTTTTCTGGACTGAATAAAACGTGCATTGAATTTAAGGAAATGCAAACGTGAGACGTCATTTATATTTGACCCATCAAAATGAATGCGGTCATTTATTTACAGAATCAAAATTTAACATCAAACATTTACATTAATTTGGCAAATTATGAAAATAACAACATAAGCAATCAATCAGGAAAAATCATACGGCCATGATTTTTCCGTTGCTTCACCACAGCGATGTTATGAAAACTGTACAATTATGATCTTTTACCCACATGAATGTGGGTGAGCATTTTACACAGACATTTCTAAGATATCTGGAAGAATTTCTACTTGATAGAAAAGTTTAAAGATGGAAAGAAGTTTAGAGGGAGTAAGATGGTGTGTGAGGGGTGAAATGTGTTCACCAGAATCGACACTCTCCGGCTTTCTTCAGCTTTTCCTTACAGTACACTTAGGTGATGAAATCGGCTCCTTTACCTGGAGATGTCTCAGGTGAGATTCCGTTTAACGCACCCTTTCAGCGTCTCAGTAGGATGCTGTTACTCGTCCGAAGTAATGGCGAGGCTCTGTTCGACACATATTCACCTCAGTGGAAAATGTTATAATCCCATGGAACTCGGAAGAGCTCTGTTGTCAGGATCATCCCGTCTCTCACAGAACTGGTTGGACTGTGTATCCAGCAGAACTCCAACAGCACTCCATCAGAACTTCAACAGAACCAAGACCGAGTAGACCAGGAAGTACTGACATTTTAAAGAGCTGTTTCCCGGTTCACTTTTGGGATTTGTTCATTGGTCAGAAACGACCAGACGGGGTGTGTTTTGTGACGTAAGAGGTTAGAGACAGCGAGAATTGTTATGAAACAGATCAGAAATGTTCTCACAGACAGAGAGAGTTTTGTTTTGGCGCTGTTTCAGCAACAGGTGCTAAAACTTCTCTATTTACGTCTGAGAGGATTCTAAAACATGACAGTTTTAACATAACAACTTGTTTTGCGTTTTATTCCAACCTTGGACCAACTTACACTTGCTCATTCAAAAGCAGAAATCAGAAAAGGCATAATTACTCTGTAACAGCTTTGACATGAGAATAAAAATCATTACACAGTTAATAAAATTGATTAGTTCACTGCCACATCTAAAATGGTTTGAACTAAGACACTTTGATTATCAACATTTGAAAAATAGTAATGATAATAAAAAGAGAGTGTTCTTTTCACTTGAATCTTCAAGAAAGAAAGTCTCAGGATGGGTGAACCTGTATTTCTGAGTTCAAATGAATGAATTGACAGTTCCTGTCCCACAAGGTTCTAAAGGTCAAGAGTTTTGACCTTAGACTTAGTTTTTGACATGGGCCTAGTCCACTACAAAGTTCAAGTGTTTGAACAAAGAACATTTTGGGGTTTCCTGTATGTTAATGTGTCTTGTAGACTGTATGTTGTAAATGCAGTCAGATTACACCAGGTTTTTATTTGTTATGTCTAAAAGTCTGCTGAAGGACACAGGTTTTTCCAGCAGAACATTGCAACATATTGAATTCAGCTGTGATTCATTCAACCTTTATTTAAACAGGTTAGTCCCATTGAGCCACGATGACTCATTTACAAGAGAGACCAGGATCTTAGTACAGAGTGATGACAACAGTGGACAACAATGACAACGACAGACA